AGTTTGAAGAAGACCGTTTCAAAGAACGTGTTATCACACGTTGTAGAAGACCGTTTTAGAGAACGTGTTATCACACTTTGCAGAAGACTGTTTCAGAGAATGTTTTAGATAACTTTACAGACCCACTACCAAGTCTTCAAAGACACACCTCTCTCTCGTCTTCTCTTCTCTGATCTTTTTTCTGTTATCCTGGGTTAATTTACTCTTTTGAGAGTTATTGCTAGTTTCTGAGATCCTCGAATATTTCGAGAAGTTCCTATTGAATCCTGGGGGACTTGCGCAATACACCGCTGATAAATATTTAAAGACAATGATTATACACGCATCAAGAATAAAGTTTGTTCGTGTTTACGTTACCTTTTATAACAATAATATAGGGTAAAAATATTAGGGTTTAATATTTGAAGATATTGAATTCTATTTAAAATATTATAATTTCTTAATAAATATTATTTCACGCATATATCTGATAATAAAATTTTCAAGTACATATTTCAAATCATAAATTAATCACGAGTATTTTTAAAATCCGCTTACAATATATACAAATATTTACTGTCACATCGAAATACCTTTAATTAATAATCAAATTATAACATAATAAAATGTTAAAGTATAAAATATTTTAAATAATAAACTAAAGAAAACATTTTCAACAACAGGTCATTTAACCTGCCAGCCAAACAAGTTTCGAGAAAAACGTGTGAGGAAATCAGCATTGTAATATTTTCAGTGGAGGAACTCTTTCTATGAATTTCGTATCTCAGACATAAATTTTGTTTCATTTCTCCAAAAATTTAGACACGACTCTGCCTCAAAGATAACATTAATTCAACGTTACATTTTTTGAAAAGGTTTTGTTGATAAAACAATCTTGATAAGTAAGAGATCATTACTTCTTCAAATTTAGAAAAATAGGAATGTATTAGGATTCACACAGTTCAGAGATTTATATAATTTGTTGGAAACATAGGAATGTGAGGGTAGATAAATATTGAATAAATATAAAATTATTATAAAATAAGACTTTGAAAACACGATTAGGATATGATTTCTTGTTTCTGGGAATTTTTCTGTGGTTTAGAGATTCCTCGTATTTGACTCAAAGTGTTCACATAGAGCTTTTAATAGCTCAACTTTAGATTATTAGGGAGCTTTAAAAAGTGTAGAAAAAATATATATTAAAGTCATATTAATATCTAGATTTGTTCTTAAAAGAAAAAGTTGAAGTTTTCGTTTTTTAGAAGCACAATTTAATACATAATTGACTTAAGGAACTAAGTAAAGTAATAAACACAAATCAAATTCGCTAGTCTAAATAGGATATATTTTGACAAGTTTAGCCATAAACTCTTTTTAGAGAAAAATAAAATAAAATAAACTTTTTTTTGTAAGCTAAAATTACTATAATTTTTTTAAAATGATGAAAAAATAAAAATAAATTTATCTATAACTAATTTATTTAGCTCAAATTCATTTTCTCTTCATATTTTTCTCTGGTGAAAGTTTATGGAGATACTCATAATAAAAAATTTGTTTCCTTCAAATAAATCTCAATATTGCACAATGTAGAAAGTATATGTGAGTGAGAGAGAAAAGGGTTTAGTGATGGTGTTTAGTTCTGTATTTTTTATGAAGATTAATCAACAATAAAACTGGTAGCAGATATCTCATACCAATTAACATAGTTTTGTAAAAAGCAGTGTTTTAGAAGGGAAGGTTAGAAATTCATATCCAATTTTGTGACTTTCCATTCTCGTGTTCTTAAAAGCTCGAACTTCATATGTGATCATGCAGTTTTTACAAAAAGATGATTTTCATGTGTTTGCAGTAACTCATATTTCATCAGAAAAATGGTAGTGTTTGAATAATAAAAATTATGCATAAAGATCATAAAAAGTATAGCTTAAAGTCTTGGACAACCTTTGAAAAGCACAAAAAGTGGCTTTTTTTTGTCTTAATCACCTGCACAAATTGTTTGGCAGTCAAAGTCAGATTAGCACTGATTTGTATAATAAAATATGCTTTAAGCCACAAAATAGTTTCACTTTTTAAGGTTCACATAAATTGTGTGGTAGTATAATAGATCCCATTAAGATAAAGAGAATGAACTCACACTGAATAAAAAAACAAACATTTGTGTAATAAAAAGGTGTATTAGCAGAAAGCAATCATGTCAGTCACATTTTGTTCTTCAGAATGGAATAAATATGGAAATGTGAATGATTTGGTTTATAAGAATATTTCTTATATATCCTGCTCATAATATACGTAATTCATTAATTAATATGTTGGAGTTTTGTGTGGTTGATGGCTAATTTATTTAATATTTAGGTTTATTTTATATTATATTGATAAACTAATTCTTTGGGTGTTATTGGTGTTGGACCAAACTTCCGATATAAAATCCTGTTAAAATTAAAAATGAGAATGTTAATAATATATGCTTAAGTTAATCGTGTCATCGTGATCTTTCCAGAATATTATTATTATTATTATTATTATTATTATAATTATTATTATTCTCATTTGTGGTTACTATAGTTTGGCATGAAGAATAATATTGGTTTTTTAAAATGTCTCATTTCTTGGTTTTTGTTTAGCTCTAAGGAAGGAAATTACTCTCCCTTTCTTCCAAATGGTGTGTGAATCATAAGACCAATCCTAGTTATAATTTTATGAATCACATTTAAGTTCATAAGTTTAATATTAGAATAAAATCTATTAAATCTCATATAATATATATATATATATATGGATGATAATCAAACTCACTTTTGTAGAAATGGAATTAACCCAATATAAATATCTTCTCTTAACTTTACATTTAAATTTAAATACTAAAATATTAATATTTTCTCATATATCTCTCTTTCTTTCTCAGTGTACAAACTAATTTTTTTTAATATTCTATATTCTTAAAAAAAATCATTTTTTTTGTCTTTTTCACTTTCTTCAACCAATTTAATATACTTTTATTTTTTTTTCATTCACCTTTTATCTCTTACATTTTCTTAATTTCTTCAACTAACTTTCATATATGTAGATTATAATCTTTTGTTTCTTTATTTTTTTAAATACTGTGCATAATAATCTTTAACACCATTTTATTTCTAATTTATCTACTACATATTTTCTATTCTTATTTATTATATCAAATTTTATGTTAGTTAAATAGTTATATTTTGAATGATTGATAATTTTAAAGGACTAATTGAAGTTTTTACTACTTTGCACTAATTCAATAAGAATTTTTTATTAATTTTTTTATAAATTATATATTTTATATTTATTAATATTTTAAAATGATAAACCTGAAAAATAATTAGCTTATAAATGTAATAAAAAATATTTGAGTATATTATAATAATAATATAAATATTTTATATTTATATAAAAAAATATCAAATATTTTTTCATATATGCATATTTTGATATAACTATAATAAATTAGAATATATACTCTATTAACAATATTAATTTGAAAATTAAAATTATAAATATTTATTTATATATAAAAAATAATACATAAAAAAATTAAAATTAATTTATTATAATTTCTATATATCTATGTTTTTTAAAAATAATATAAAATGTGGACGGATTGAAACTTAACAAAAATAAAGATGAAAATTAAATCTCTAATTGGATAAGAAAGAAACAAGTGTAAGATGATTAAAAAAAGTTAGAGAGACCATTTCCTCTCATTGTCATTGTCATGTCTAATTGTAGAACTCACTACAAAGGGTAAAGAACATCTTCACCTTGAATTATGTTCTTAAAACAAAAATGAATTTAGGCCAATGAGAGAGTATTAGCTATGAGTTTACAATCATCTTGAATGTTACCATGAGTAGCATAAATTTATTAATTCTAAAAATTTCTTTCTAGTTATTATCTTTTGAGAAAACATTTGCTATGAGCAATAAAAAATAATTTAACAAGTAGAAACCAATTAACTTGGATCTTATGGAAAGTAAAATACATCAATGAATAAGTCACGGGTCAGTGGAAGTTAATCTAGTTGTTTTTATATTGTTTGAATTAATTATGTTTTACCTATCGCTATGAACTTTGAGCCAAATGTTTGTCCCAAATTTTGATTAAAAGTAAAAGAGACATCATATGTCCTAGAAATTCAATTTATTAAAGATAGAACTTGGAGTTAATGAGTTGGCACTGTCATAAATCATACATTGATAAAGTTTTAAATTTTCAACACATAATTAATATTACGTTCTCAAGAAGGTTCATGGACATAAGAATTGCAAGACTCGCTGTCATAAAATTTAAAAAAGATCAACAACTGTTACGATATGTAAGGCGTTAACCCAAAGGCACCTTCCATATATTACGATGAGTGTTTGTTTGGTTAGTAAGTAAGGCTTTGTCGCATTGAGAAACCAGTGGGTTTTGGGCATTAACAGGTTTTTAAAATGTTGTGATTATATTATTATATTATTGCACCTTATTTTTGCCTTACATGACAGATCAAAATTATTCGTTAAAATTAACTAAAAGCTGTTTATTTTTAAAATAATCAGGTAAGGCAAACACATACAAAAAGAAAGTGATTTTTTTATTAAAAAAAACACTTTTTTAAATAAACAAGCAAAAAATAAAATTTCCATAGGTTAATGCTAATAACGAAGCATGACACATTCATTACTTTTTTAGGGATAAATTACTTGATGAAATATACTATGGCTGGCCTGAGCTTAGATAAAGTTATCTTCAAACACGTATAGAAATTTAAATTAATAAAGTCCAGAATATAAAAAGATTATTACCAATTAATAGAGGTTAAATGAATTATTTTCTAAAATGATATATAAGTTAACTTTACTACTCACTTGCTTAATTCATTATAAATTAAATAATTGGAATGACGGGCTAAAAACCATGTGCAAACGGGAAGGTAAAAACAAAAGTGAGAATATGAAAGACAATATTGAGATATTAAAGTTAAAATCTTTTAGGCCCATTACAGATTATCGTTGCTATGAATCAAATACCTGAAGGTCCATAGGTCCAAGACTCAAATCTTTAGATATGCCTCTCCTAATCAAGGATAGGCTATAACCCTAACTTTGGAAAGACTTCAATGACACAAACTGTTGCAAATGCATTGGTAATCATGCTTCCCACCATTTTTTCTTCTAATTTAATGGTCTTCCTATCCCTACGCGGTTGCATTCACAGAGCAGATCTAACGATACAACAAACCTGCCACTTGTACTTCCTACATATTCAAACCTATCCCTACACAGCAGCCAAAACAGTGTACGCACAAATTCAACGACGGCAACGGTTCCATGTTTTACACAAGTTCCATATCTGCACAGTTCCAGAATCGGAATATCTTACAGGCTCATGCTACAAGACAAGCAAATTAAATGTTGTCAGCATCCCAGAATAAGCACCTTGGAGAAAACAAACGTTTTTTTGGCCATTAGCCATTATCAGGCACAGTGGTGGAAGAGATAGAATGACCAAAACAGAGTCCAGAGAATTCTAACTACAAGATATTCGCACTTTGATAAACATATTCTGACTGCACTAAACAATTTTGATTCAACATTGTCACACCAGAAGAGAAGGCAGGAGTGGTTAAAACGAGGGGAATCATACATGTCACACCAGTGGCTCCAAGGCACCATGTTTTACACAAGTAACAAAGTGCGTGTATAATTGGCGTACCCAATCCTTCGTAACTCGCACAGCACCAAGTGGAAAGGAACCCTCTAAAAGTGGAACCAAATAATCATCACAAAGAAGCCAAGTCCATATTGTAGGAGGAATATTACACTATTTGGAAAGCCAGATGGAATAATAGGCAAACACTTAGACAACTACTCATTTCCTAAGTTTAAAGAACCGTCTTTCATCAACTTTAAGCTCAAGCTATTGAATCTCCCACGTGAATAATGCCTTGATGCTTTTCTCCAATCCGTTCCAGTTTTCATCATCGCAACAAATTCATCGTAGCTGATACGTCCATCCTGCAATTGTTCAAGAATTTTAGACGGTGCAATGCCCTAATCAAAACTATATCTAAAGAAATAACTCCCGTATATCACCTTGTCCGTGTCTACTTCTTGGAAAATATCATTTGCTACATCTGTACAATCATCTGCTCCATCTTCCATCAAGGCATTACGTAGCTCATCAGGTTCAATATATCCATTCCCATCTTTATCAAAATAGGAGAAGGCCTTGCGAAGATGCTCGTCATTAGCCATCCTTTTTAAATGAAGGGAAACAGCGACAAATTCCCCGTAGTCTAGTGTTCCCTTACCATTACTATCTACCTGTTGTCAACATACAATGATTAAAAGACAAAACAAGAACAATTTCAACCTAAAATATTTTACTTGATATCATTCAAAATGTAACCGAACAAAGTCAACCAAAATTAAAAATTGAAAATATCACAATTGTACCCCATGGATTCCAATTTGCATGTTGATAAATCAACTTTTGTCAGCCAATTTATGATGAAGTAGTAACTTAAGAGTTCAATTGCAATAGGAACAAAGGGAAATTAGCTACACTCACAGCTTCAATAAGCAACTGAACTTCAGACTCAGCAAGTTGAGACCCAAAGTTTCGAAATCCAGCTTTAAGTTCTTCAATGGAAACAATGCCATCATTATCATTATCCATCTTTTTGAACATATCTTTAATGTCTTCAACTTCTTCATTGGATAAGAAATCAGCAATGACCTGTTTTGAAATGTACAATCTTAGGTCTGACATGCTATACAAGCAATATATTAAGTTATCACAAGCGGCAAACTAACCCTAAGGGCTTTTCTTTTGAATCTGTTCATCATTGAAAATTGCTTAAGCCTTGACTTGACAACATCTCCAAGTGGAACATTAGGAGCCTTCTTAGCATTTTGGAGCCAGGGATGCTCTGCAAGGCAAGAAAGAAAAAAGAACCTTATGATCTGTTCTGAAAAGTCATCAACATAATAACAACGAGTAATGTTAATGCTGAAATTATTTGGTTAAGATATATTAAATAAGAATGAGTTGATATTATCTAATGTATTACAGTTAAGGTGTTAAAATGCCAAACATGTCCTGATGGTGGAAAAAATCAATGAAGATGACCAAATAAATAACACAACTGACAACTGCCAGAAGGAGGACATGATACCCAAAGAACTGCCAGAAACACGTCAGCAAATTGCAGACCAAGTTGAAGAATGAAGTAGTAGGAGTGATACCAACTGATAAGCACCAAAACACTTGGAGAAACCGGCCTTAAAACTAGTTGTTAATGGGGGAGAATCATGTAGTTAAATATTCCATCAAGCATCTTATACTACGGCTCAACATTCTCGTTGGTCAAAAACCTTTCACCAGTCAGAACTCTTCAGAGGTAGCCCTTAAGAGTCAACACTCAACTCTCTCACTGACAACCAACTTTGGTACCAACAAATAAGAACCTTGAAAGAGCCACAGCACAAAAACTAGCTACTGTGGTAGAAGAGTCCAAGGCCTTACTTGACAATTAACTTGAAGGAAGAATCATGAAATTAAATTAGTACTCCAAATTTTAAGGACCTTGACAGTGGTGGTGACAGGACAGTTCACGAAGGAAGATACCACTCTAATACCATGTTGGGAACTTAGATGTAGAGGAAGAGACACAAAAGAGAATATAACATTGAATCAATATGAACGTAGATGTATTACCACGCGATAGGATGTTCTTCATAGTTGATATATCCATATTGGAACAAGCCCTTATTTAAACTACCTTTGTCCTATATATAAGAAGCAAATGAGAACATTTTTTTGGTCCTAATTATAAGAAATAAAGGATCCCTCACAAATATTATTAACAGCTAATTTCCTTTTATAACATTTATTTGGTTAGTATTAAGACAAGAAACACCCATTGGTTGAAAAAATGATCTTTTTATGAACAATGTCAAATACTTAAACCATTTACTCCTATGAGTATTTTTGGGATACAATTTAAGTTAGGATATCATTAACTAACTTTACAACTTTTATTGACATTGATGAATTCGATATTTGTTTGAGGATTTTTTTCAACCAATGGGTGTGACTTGTTTTCTTAATAACTCGATAATTGCATCCATTCTAATGAGAAATGAGTTCATGACCATACCATAAAACATTTAAGAATAGGTCTATTATGAAATGACCACAAAGATATCTTCATTCCCCACCCCCCCAGGAGCAGATGTAGCAGTTATTAGAAATTTAAAATCCAAAAGGAGATAGTTTTCACCAAATTTTTTTCTTCACTTGATTTCATTAATCATACAAGTGCTGAAACTTTTGGCATTTAATTGAGATTTTAAAAAGGCTCTTAAAAGTAATATGAAATGAACATGGAGAAGATAAACATACCAAGCACTTGTTTGGCAGTTAATCGAAGCTTAGGGTCTGGTTCTAACATTTGCTTAACAAGACTTTTAGCACTTTCAGAAATACTGGGCCAAGGCTCTCTTTTGAAATCTATAAGCCCTCGAAGAATGGCCTGTGCAACTCCTTGCTCAGATTCTGCATAGAATCAACAACATCAAGGAAATAAAATAAGACTTTTTACATGCTGAAGAAATAATAAAAAATACCAAGTTCAAAAGCACAAAACTCATGATATGTGTTGAATATAGAAGAAATAGAGTTTGGGATTAATCTCCCTTATGTATAAATCACACATAAGGTAGTCTATTTATAGTAGAGAGATACAACTAAAAGAGTAACTGAAAGTAACAGAATAAACAGAAGATATTGTTTGATATTATGGTTAATATCTAACAATATCTTAACAATATTAAATAATATCTAAACAATATCTAACACTCCCCTCAAGCTGGAGCATACAAATCGTATGTGTCAAGCTTGTTACAAATATAATCAATTCTAGGACCCAGTAAAGATTTAGTAAAAATATCTCGCTAACTGATCACTTGAGTTAACAAACTCGGTCTTGATGTCTCCGGACATAATCTTTTCTCGAATGAAATGACGAGTCAATCTCAATGTGTTTGGTCCTCTCATGAAAGACAGGATTAGAACTAATATGAAGAAGCAGCTGATTGTCACACACAAGTGACATTTGAGTGACATCTCCAAATTGTAACTCTCTAAGCAATTGCTTGAGCCAAACAAGTTCACAAGCAGCTGAGGCCATAGCTCTATATTCTGCTTCGCACTAGATCTTGCCACAACACTTTGTTTCTTACTTTTCCATGAGATCAAGTTACCACCAATGGAGACACAATATCCGAGATGTAGATCTTCTATCCGAAGGAGATCCTACCTAATCGGCATCTCGAGTAGCAAACAACTCTTGTATGGTTATTAGAATCATATAACAATCCTTTTCCAGGAGATCCTTTAATATACTTTAAGATACGAATGACTGCATTCCAATGATCTTCACATGGGGAATTAAGAAATTGGCTTACCACACTCGACTGCAAAGGAAATGTCGGGACGAGTAACTGTAAGATAATTCAATTTTCCAACCAATATTCTATCTTGCTTCAGGATCATGTATAAGCTCCCCCGATTTGGTAAAAGTTTAGTATTGGGATCCATGGGCGTATCAACGAGACTTTGAATTCATCAACCCAGTTTCCTCTAAAATATCCATGGCATACTTCCTCCGAGATATAACAATACCATCATTGGACTGTGCCACCTCAATACCCAAGAAATATCTAAGTTTGTCAAGATCTTTGGTCCGAAAATGGTGACAGAGATGTTGTTTCAACCGAGAGATGCCATGGTTGTCACTACCTGTAAGAACGATGTCATCAACATATACTATCAAGTAAACACATCTAGCACTTGAGTGTCGATAAAAGACAGAGTGATCTACTTCACACCGAGTCATACCAAATTGTTGAACAACCTTGCTAAACTTTCCAAACCAGGCCCTAGGAGACTGTTTTAGGCCATATAGGGATTTGCGAAGACGACATACCATCCCGAGAAGACTCCCCCGAGCAACAAACCCAGGAGGTTGCTCCATATAGATTTCTTCTTGCAAATCACCATTGAGGAAAGCATTTTTAACATCTAGTTGATAAAGAGGCCATTGTTGAACAGCGGCCATGGCGATAAATAAACGAACAGAAGTCATCTTTGCCACAGGGGAAAAGGTATCTCCATAATCCAACCCAAAAATTTGAGTATAACCTTTAGCCACAAGACGAGCTTTGAGGCGATCAATAGTACCATCAGGTCCAACTTTGATAGCAAACACCCACCTGCAACCAACAACAGATTTCCCAGACGGTAACGAGACCAATTCTCAAGTTCCACTATTATGAAAAGCACTTAGTTCATCTAACATGGCCTGACGCCAACAAGGATGGGCTAAAGCTTCACGGACGATTTTGGAATGGTCACGAGAAGAAAGAGAGGAAAGACATGTATAAAAAGGTAATGATAGTCGATGATAACTCAAACCAATATAATGAGGAGAGGGATTACGTGTAGAACGGATACCTTTTCAGAGGGCAATGGGAAAGTCAGACTCAGGTGTCACATCCGAAGGAGACAGAGTAGTTGGCACTTGAGTAGAGTCACATGGTGGTGGTTGTGATTGGTTTCGACAACTATAAACCTGAAGAGGCAATGAAGAAGAAGCTGATTGCGGAGTAGAATCTAATGATGAAGAAGACAGTTAGAGGGTCACAAACAACAGGAACATTAAATGTACTAGGAGTGTTGACAAGATTGGATGGAGACAGAGGTGAAGATTGACTTTTAAAATAAAAAGAGAACTCATCAAAGGTGACATCTGCAGACACAAAATAACGGTTAAGAGAAGGAGAAAAACATTTGTATCCTTTTTGTGATCTTGTAAACCCTAAGAAAACACATTTATGTGATCTAGGAGAAAGCTTGTCAAGACTAGAACTAAAATTATGAACAAAACATGTAGACCCGAAAACTTTTAGAGGTAAGGGATGAAGTGGTTCATGAGGGAATAAAATGGAATGAGATATTTTATTATCTAGAACCGAAGATGGCATGCGATTAACAAGATAACATACAGTAAGAAGAGCATCACCCCAAAAATGCTGGGGAACCTCTCCATGAATTAAAAGAGTGCGAGTTGTTTCAATAAGATGTCTATTTTTACGTTCAGCTACACCATTTTGTTGAGGTGTATAAGCACAAGAAGTTTGATGCAAAATACCATGAGAAGCCATGAATTGTTTAAAAGAATGAGAAAGATATTCACGACCATTATCACTGCGCAAAACTCTAATAGAAACACCGAACTGAGTTTGAATTTCATTGAAAAAAGTTTGAAAGATATGAAATAATTCAGAACGATTTTTCATCAAAAATAACCAAGTGCATCTAGAATAATCATCAATGAAAGTAACAAAGTATTGAAAACCTAAAGTAGACTTAACGCGGCTAGGTCCCCAAATGTCAGAGTGAACCACGGCAAAAGGGGACGAAACACCACGTGTGACACTACGAGGAAAGGAAGTACGACTATGCTTGCCTAATTGACACGACTCACATGTCAAACTAGACAATTTAGATAAGGCAGGGACAAGTTGTTGTAACTTGGCAAGACTTTGATGACCTAACTGAGCATGGAGAAGAGAGGGAGACTCTATAACTGCACCAACATGTGTAAAGGGACGAAGATGATAAAGACCATGAGACTCACATCCTGTGTCAATCACCTGTTTCGAACTCCGGTCCTGTAAACACACAGAATTGTTGGTAAAAGAAACAACACAATCAAGAGAACGAGTTAGACGACTGATGGATAACAGGTTAAAAGGAGACCCAGGGACATAAAGAACATTATCAATGGTTAAAGAAGGAAAAAGTTTAACAGTTCCAACACCATGAGATGATACTCTAGAGCCATCAGCTAGTGTAACAAAAGGTAAAGGATCAAGAGAGGATAAAGAGGAGAACAAAGATTTGTTACCAGTAATATGATCAGTGGCTCCTGAATCAAAAACCCAAGAACCAGAAGAAGATTGGGTCAGTCCAGCAAAAGATGTACTTGTGTGTGCGACAGACACAGTGGAACTAGAAGACTGTTGATCCTTATACCATTTGAGAAATTTGTTGAACATAGCAGGTGTGTCTGATGAAATAGAAGAAGGAGGATCCTTAGTAGATAAAGGTGGGAAAAGATCAGTCTGAGCAACTGCAGTAGATCGAGTAGGACGACCATGTAATGCATAACACTTGTCAATGTTGTGACCTAGTTTGCCACAATGTTCACACTCATGTAATGCATAACACTGGTCAATCTTGTGACCTAGCTTGTCACAATGTTCACACTTAGGACGCCCTTTTTCCTGTTTGTGAGGGCGAGTTCGATCATCACGGTGAGATACCAATGCAAAAGAATCATTAACAGAAGCAGGTGTGTCAGGGTTGGGTTTTGCTGGTATACGCAAAAGAGTGGAGAAGGTCGATGTCAAGGTGGAGACAACCGGAGAACCCAAAATCTGATCACGAATATGTGAATATTGATCAGCAAGTCCGTGTAATGCCCCTAGCATGAAGAACTTTGATCGTTGTCCTATCTCGGTGGCAGGGTCGAGGGAAGGAGGCAATAACTCATTGAACTCATGAAAAAGAGCATGAATTTTGCCCATATAATCAGTCATAGAATCTTGATGTTTAGAGGCAATAACATCTACAAATTTAGAACAGACATCATAAAGACGTTGAGTATCATTGGTGTATAATAACTTGGCATGTTCCCAGATTTTGGCACATGTTTCGTAGGAACGAAAAATTTTTTTAACGAAGGATCAAGAGTACCCTTGAGAACCACGCATAATTGAGCATCAATGGTGTCCCAACGGTCTTCCTCACCAGGAGTGAGAGTAGGTGCTTTCGGGGCAAGATGATCAAGATACTTCTGACTCTTAAGCCATAATCCGACGTCTGATGACCATGTGGCATAATTAGGGCCGGTTAACTTGTCAATGGATAAGTGCACATTAACATAGTTAGTGTAGATGGAAGGATCGAGGCATAATCTCGACGAATTGGAAGTACTAAAAGGAGCGGAAGAACTCATAAAGGGGCGGAGGCGATAGTGACAATGGTATGAACCGAGTACACCGAGTAAGTTCCCGGAAGAGAGACATGAACAAAAAGAAAAGACAACTAGCAGATTAAAACCTGACCAGAAAACATTAGTATGTGTCAAAACCAAAAGAAAAAGAACATAAAGTATAAGCATGCAAGTATTAGCACAGATAATGGAACACACATGAATGTTGATAGATGTTAATGCACATAGAAAAGAAAGCATACATAAAGAGCACTGTAAGAATATAAGGATTTATACCAGCCCAAAATGGGGGAACACCACACAGTAAGATGTAGAGAATTACTCCTGCACTCCATATATCTATTTCTGGTCCATAATTCCGCTTGAGAACTTCTGGAGCCATATAATATGGACTTCCAACAATTTCTGAGAACCTCTCACCTGGACATATTTTTATTAACCACAACACATTATGGAAAATAAGTCAGATACTGCAAGAATGAAAAAAAAAAAAATATATATATATATATATATATATATAACATTGAAACACGAGTACACAGCAATAAAATGTACCATCTGATGGTAAACTGTGACAAGAGATGGTGTATGTTCTACCTTAAGAGTAATGTCTATACTCTAAAGTGCTGTGGTAAACAAACAGGCTGTGTTTACAAGGAAAGTAAGCCAACATTAAAGGGTGTTAAGTTTGTTTATTGTTTTCATAATGTTAAAACGATAGTGCTATTAGATTCAATTTTTATTCTTTTGTTTTCAATAACTGTTTGTAAGATAACTTCAAAGAAACTTAAAATAAAATGCTGAAAAAATGTGCTTGGGTTTGGGTGATTTTATTGATGATAGATTTTAATCCTATTTTCAATAAGAAGGATCTGACTCCTCTAAATTAAGGAGTGCCCTTAAGGATAAAGCACATTTTAATCAACTGTTGATATTTTAATGATTTATTAATACTGATATGATTTTTTATCACAAATTCATGATTTTCAACACAGCAATTGTTAAACGGCACTTTACCCTTTGAAAATGTGCCATACACTTTAAAGGAGTTAAATCCTTTAAAATAATTGTTCAGAAACTAGCCATACGAAACTATTTATCTTATTTTACATGTCAAGTGAGCCATCCATAGAATAGAGAGAAATTGTGCAACATTTTAGACACTTGAAAAATTGCAGAAGATAATTTAAAATTCAAAACAGTGAACCCAAAAGTTAATCACACTTCTTTTGAAAATATGAAAAGAACAAGGCCCTCTCCTTATCTTAGATGGTGGACCTTCAACGATGAGTAAAGGAAGCAGCAGTGCAGCACTGCACAAATTCAAAATTGTTGAAATTCCTGCGCCAATAACCATTGGCAAAACAACCTAAAACATATTGTTACAATGTGGCACCATAGCGCCTGCAGAAAACCTCGAAGGTAAACATTGGTCAAAGAGTCTACTGTTTGGGAAAAAAAGGAAATGGAGGTAGCATGGAATGATATGGACCTCTTTCTATCTGAAGAGAAATTTCTTGTGGCAAAGAAAAAGGACAACTGGAAGAAATAGGTTGTTTTATTTTAAATTATATTAAAAAATTGAAATCAAACAACCCAATTTTTGGTTGTTTCAGCATTTCCTTCCAGAATTTTGAAAATGGAAATCAGAATGAGCACAAGTTGGTATTATTCTAATTATAATGAAAAGATGAAAACAAGAAAACAAATCAAACACCCTTTTAGTAACTGAACTGCAACACGATTCACTACCTTGCATCCAATAGTGATTGCAGATAACAGCATCCTAATGCCTAAACAAAATCTTTCTTGAAGACAAACAAACAGCTAATGTACAATGAGACAAATATGCCAAATGGATTTCGTATTACAAGCCTTTTTCAAGTTTATAACTGTCAAGAATTACAGGCTTATGGTTAGGGAAGGAGAGAAAGCAAGAGTCAAAAAAGATAACGATAATAACACTGAATATTATTGATTAGATAAAATGTGTTACACTAACAAAATAACCTAACGTTCTATTTAAATGACTAATTAGGTTAAGCACCACAATCTAATAGCCTTCCCTCAAGCTACATCTTACTAAGCATCAAGCTTGATACAAGCAACAAAGCATCAAATAAAAACAAAGAGCAGCATCTACTCTCCATAACAAAAATAGGAAAAGCAGTACACATCCCTCCCCCCACACCAAATCACAAAAACATAGCAGTGTAATTTGCAGGAAAGCTCCTAGCGTCTCCCTACTAGACATACCAACATAATGGGATGGTTTCTGGAGTCTCTGGCCTTTCTCATCTCATCAGCAGCTTCTCAACCTCCCAATTGATCTCCAAAACAGAGTCTCATGTACCAAGGGGGGAAGGGAGGTCCTTAGGGTGCAAAGTCCTCAAAGTTCAAACTACATACCCTTACAAGCTAGACTACAGAAATTACTCCAAACCTTCAACCAGTATAGTTAAATGCCAAACAGGTTAAAAATGATAGAAGAAATACCAAACAGACAAAATAATCTAGCAATGAAAGAACAACCAAATATGCCAAAAAGAGCCAGAACAGAAGTTCGCCAACCAAATATAGCAAATCCAGACAAAATCTAGGCAGAACAGGTCACTGGCCACACATTGCCAGATATAATTGCATGGGAAGTCCCAAGGTCTTGCCACTCTAGCATTCCCAAAATTGACGCCACTGGCCACCCAAATGCAGTTAGCAATGACAAGTTTCCTCCTCAAACACTAATTGACACAACACCCTAAATATCTAAAGAACTAGAAGAAAAGCCAAATCTGAAAAAAACAGGAAGTAAAATTGAATCTGAAATTAATATTGACCGCCAGAGCTCCGGCCAATCACCATTTTCATTTCCAGAAATTACACCAAGCCAATCACCAGTCCTAGTCAGGCAGCTCCATCCCCAAAAAATTAAGTATGTCCAATAGTATACATGCTACAGAGTCCGGACACGCACTCAAGTTTTGGGATATTGCCGCTACGACATCACAGCAATACCTTCAGGATGTCTTCCACACAACAGAAAACCAACTATTCTGCACAGGGTATGCTAAGATCTTACCCAGAGGTAATCAAGAGAACCATAAATTATCGATGAATCTAGAAACACCACAAGCAGAGGTGAATCACCAATGCTACAGAAGAAGTGAGTGGGAAGAAGTGACTCTAATTTGATTTCTGAACAGATTCAACTAATACCCACCTCTTTGAGAATAAATTCCAATTTAGAAACAGATGTGACAATGTATAAGTACGACCAAGTTGGAGAACTCAACATAACAAAGGAAACCTCCTCATTCATAGAGAATGATACTGCTCTAATACCATGTTGAGAGAGAGGTTATTCATATACACACACACAGAACTAACTAATAACAGTGAACTTAATTGATAGGAAGTAATGTGATACTCTTATACATAACCTAGAGCCCCTACTACCAGTTAGGTTAAGTACTAGTCCTAAAGTACAAGCCCAAGCCTACTACCAGTAATCTAAATATATTCAATAATCATCAAAACAGAACCAAAAGCACATCGTCTTATTTGAACAGAACCAAAGAACGGTCACAGAAAATTACCACCTTAATGTAGTAATTATTTCTTATCCAAATTAAGTGTGGCAGAACCCAGTATAGTTGCAACAAATTCTGCACTTCATCCCACATTTGGCAATAGGGTTTACAAAAAAGAGAAAATAAAAGGATTGACACACTGAAAAGATTGACACACATGGCACTGACACAGAAAAAGCCATATCCAACACAGAAACAAAGCAACTGCCAAGCTTAGCGTCAGCTGATCTATAATTAGCACAACAGACCCAACACAAAGGCCGACTCCATAATTTCAACCTCATACAACGGATTGACCACTTGTTATGCCCCCTCTCATCTTTCAATCAAAATCACATCGCATTATTAAATCCAATCACCGTAAAAAGCAAACATAAATAACCAGGCACTTAATCAAGGCACCCTCATTAACATAAATGTCCTTCAGAAGTTGAGATTTAAAAACAGCATCGAAATTTAAGTGTCAACGAGCGTTACAACAAAACAATCCTCTTACTTCTCCTCTTATGCTGCAGGCGCAGAATGTCGTGTAGACGGTACAAAATCTAACCGTACCAACTTCAAGTACACAAAACTAGGTCCTTGATTGGATAAACTTCTCTATATATAGTTCAAAATTATAAACAGAAAGAAAATTAAGAAGGTAAAATAAATCGATCTTCTCCGGTAAGCTAAAATCAACTTATAATACTTAACAAGAAGCGCTCTGGTTTAACTTCTCCAAAAGCTTAAGTTTCCCTAACGAGGCAAGTTTAATTCGTTTTATTTTCTTATTTTCGTTTCGTATGAGTGTTTAATGAGTAAATTCATTCAAACTGAGCCTAGACAACATCACAGGCATCTGAAACACCAACATAGTGTTCCAAACAATAACCTCATCAATGTAGTACAAACTCAACTATACCTTCACATTCCAAACTAAACTCACCTAATGCACTCAATAACTTCAAATTCACTCACGGTCCGTACCTGGCTTGAAAAATATGGAAAGCCCGAAGTCAATAGCCTTGAGCGGCGAATTCTCCTTCTTGTTTGCAAACAAGAAATTCTCCGGTTTCAGGTCGCGATGGATGACCCCGTGCTTGTGGCAGAGCTGCACCACCTCCACAATCGTCCTCGTGACAGCGGCAGCAGCGCGCTCGGTGTAGTGGCCGCGGGCAACGATCCGGTCGAAGAGCTCGCCGCCCTCGCAGAGCTCCATGACGAGGTGGACGGCATTGTCGTCCTCGCAGGCCTCGCGGAGCGACACGATGCTAGGGCTCTCCGGCAGGTGGCGCATGATGGCGACCTCGCGGCGCACGTCCTCGACGTCGACGGCAGTCCTGAGCTTCCGCTTGGAGATGCTCTTGCAAGCTAGCAGTTCGCGAGTGTCGCGGTCGATACAGAGGTAAGTCACCCCGAACTCGCCGCGGCCGAGCTCTCGGTCGACGAGGTAGCGGTCCTCGATGTTCTCCTTGGGCACGCCGGCAAGGACCGTGATCGGCGCCTTCTGTTTGACGGCTTCTGCTCCGGCACCGCGCTTGCCGTGGTGGTCGGCGTTGGAGAAGCTCGATTTGACGTCCTCTCGGGCTACGGCGGCCGGGGATCTGCAGCAGTTTCCCATGGCAGGAGGAGAGGAGATCGCGGGAGAGGAGAGGGTTTGGGAGGAGAGTGTCGACGACACGTGCTAGGGTTTCACATCATAATGCGGAAACCCTAACCCTAGAATGTGATTTTGAAAAAGAAGGTGATGAGATTGAAACAAAGGTGATGAAGAAGAAGAAGAAGATGAAGAGTAAGAGAGAGAGAGAGAGAGAGAGAGAGAGAGAGAGTGACAATGAGTGTAAGTGTGAATGAGAGTGAGTGAGAGTAGTGAGTGAGGGGATGGAGTGTGTGCGAGGGTGTACGGTAACGGCTGGGGATGCGGTTTTTTAGGAGCCAGGATCCTCGGGTATTCGCCATTTCATTTTTATAAATTATTTAATTCCTCTTTTTTCGTTTTCAAGAAACTTTTACTTATTATAATGAAACATTTACTCTACTTATTTAAAACATTTACCTTTTTTTATGACTGCGAAAGTTTGCTAATAATGATAATAAATACAACTGTAAACAAAAAAATAATAATAAATACAACTGCAAAAGTGATTCTTTTTGTTGTTTTTTAAAACACGCACTATCGTCCAAAAGCAATGAGATTAATTTTGTAAGAATCTGAAATAGTGATTTTTTTTATCAAATTAATATTTTCTAGTAAATATTCCTTATTTATATATTCAAAAAATAAATTTTGAACAGTTATTTAAAATTAAAAGGTATAAGTACTTGTCTTGAATCCATAAAGTTAACACTCATCTCAACCAATCAAGGCGTGTAGGAATATTTTTAAATTTTATCAGAGTATCATTTAACAGTTGGGTCATACAATATTAATTCAAAAGAGATTAATTTAGTATTATATTAAACAAATAGTTAGACTTAAATGATAAATAATATGTGTTAGAGAACGATTTATTTTAGGTAATTGTTATTAAATGTGTGAATTAATTGACATAAAAGTAGTAATTGTTTTTTATGTCTTAAACATGTCGTTGTGTCAAGAAAGAAAAGTTGTTATTTGTCATTTATAATAGTTATATCCAACATACATAAAACACTTACTAAATTTTATTTGAATGATATAATTCAAATAAACCCTTAACTTATATTTTAGTGGATTTATTTCATTTTTTATTCACATAATAACAATTATTTTTATCTAAAGACGTCAACAATTTATATATTCTAATAATATTTTCAAGATTTTAACGACCAAAATAAATAACTCTATTGCGATCATTACCTCATTTATTGATTTTCATATAAAAAAAAAAAAAATCCAACCCACACTGTCTCTGCATAGTTGCATATTTCGTATGCAAAATTTGTCTTTTATCTTATAAGATATGAGAAAGCCATTTTTAACTAGATGGTAAATTTTGATCAACCTTGGAGGGTTCTTTGTATTTAGGTTTTTCCCAATCTGTTAAGGTTCTTTCTGTTGGAATATTTATCTCTTCATAAATGTTACTTGACACGATCCTACTTGCTGTTATATTTGGCAAACATGAGTACTATATAGTTTTCCAGTGGTGAAGAAGAAATCTTGTTATACGACAAAAAACAATAATTGAGATGAGGGTTTTCTCAAATAAAAAATGTTTGATGCACTTAATTAAAAATCTTGGTTCAATTTAACAGCAGACATGTTTAGTGACTATTGAGAATGTGACTATGCAAACAACATTCTACAATTTTAAAAATTTCTTCTTTTTTTTTTTTTTAACTTTAATGGACATGTGCACACGTCCCTAAAATAAAGAGGGTTTACTGTCCTAAGTATTGGAAGCATCTCTCTTAAAAATAATTACAAAGTGTCACATACTTGTCTGCATTTCAGGCATGATTAAACAAGGTAAATAAACTTTGGAAATGTCACTTGGGTCCAATTCACACTAGGCACCCCCATCAATATGCAACTATTTAGGAATACATCAAATTTTATTTCATGTTTTAGGGTAATATTGTACGGATTGTTGGGTTGTTAATTTTAGTTTTCTATATTTTATAATGTAATGTAAATTTAAGCATCTTGTACAAAAACCTACTTCAATGATAAAATTTTCAATCTGAGTGCTTAGTTTAAATTTATAAAGTTTATATTAATATTTTATCCATTAATATCTCTCATTCCCAACATGAAAAAAAATAAATAAATAAACAATGGGTTTACAAGCAACATGTTTGCATAACCAATTTCATATCAAATAAACTTGAGCCACTTTTCTTAAACAACCTCGTTTAAGATGACTTAAAAAATATTAATTCCTCAAAAACAATAATTTAAAAGTAACAAAAATAAATAACTACTTTTTAATAGTAATTTTCATGCATTTTTGTAAAAAAACGTATTTAATCATAATTTACAATGGTTGAACTCAATTTTATGATCAATAATAAAAAAATTATTATAATTTATAATTGAATTATTATAAAAAAAAAAACTACGTATAAATATTTATATCCCATTATCTTCATTTTCATGGTTCAAAGTGGCATAAGAGAAAATAAAACTGTCAAAAAAAAAAAAATATAATACGAATATCCTATGTAATGAAAAATTCTTTAATTAAGAAGGTATGATAAATAAATTTCTCAAGAGATTGTCATAAATAATTCTTCTTAAATGTACGATAATATTATAACATGCAACTTAATATAATTCTCACTTCTCTTAATTAACATGGTAGAAATCAAAAGAAAAGAAAGTAATAGGGTATAAATGAAAAGAAGGAGAAAACAGAAAATTTTGGAGGAGAATTAAGATTAAGCAATAGTTGAAGGGCATGAAGAATATGGGATTAGAGTGTAAAAGTGAGGAATAAGAAGAGAAGATGGCATGTGCTGTCTGATCAATTTACAAACAGATGAAACCAAAGGGACCTTCTTGTCTGTCTTCTTTCTGTGTTTGTTTGTGTGAAAGAGCAAGTGAGTGGGTCTCATGGGGCATCTCTACCAACCAGCTTTTCTCATTCTATTTCTGCACTTGCTTGCATTGCTCTGGTGCTTGTTTCAGAAGCTCCACATAATTGTTGCTAAGCCTTAGATCACACCCTGAACAAAGGGTACCAAATTATGAGTCACCCCAACCTTTTTTAAGACCAACCCTTATTATATTATTGGGTCCACTAATTGGGGAACAAGAGTTATTATGCCTCATTTTGTATTCATTATCTTCTCATTGGAAGCAGAGAACAAAGACAGATATTTCCAAACAACTCTGAGATATTCACGACAAACATGGACACAAGAAGGCCAAATACACAAATCCTATTCAGATTTTATGCTTTGTTCAATCTCGGCACTCAAACAACCTTATAGTTTAATCAAACCCATCACATGAATGGAATGAAAAATAAAAATATTAACAAACTAGCCAAATAAGTAAGCATTTGTAGAACTCATTTGGTTGAACCTTGGCATTTCAAGCTTGACATGGATCGTATGCACAACTTTCCCTTTTCAGTGCTGTCGCCATACACAGACATCACACATGAGTATGGCGTACAAACAAGTAGACAAAGTTTGGATTAAGGAAGAAGGAAAGATGAGTAAGAGGTTGATTAAGTGGCAGAATTAAATACTAATTAATTGGACCCAACTTTTTATTCAAATTTTTAAATTTTCCTAGTTTTCTTTTTAGCACCTTTTTTAGCCAAACCCAAATCATCACTGATTAGTTACATGTTTTGTTCGCCCATTTAGTAATTGCTCGACATTTTGCTTAATTTTGGGACATCCATAATTTTTTCTTTGTGCAATGTGACCTAATTGTTCAGTGGAAAATGTTTTTTTTTTTTCCTTCTTCTTCTTCTGATTGAAAAGTAAGGCAACTATTTGTTCTCTTTTGCTTTTCTTGTACACCAATAACCAAATATCGTTGGTCCAAAGTTCTAGAAGGATTTCATTTTGAGAGTAATCATGAATTCAATAGCTAGAATCATTTTTCTCCCATTTTATATTAAAAAAATTGTATTCGATAAATGTACAAAGTCACTTCTTTTATCTACATATATTATCTTTAAACTATAGAAAAGGAAACAAAAAACATGCAAAAATTACTTATAATTTTCAGCAATGCATTAAAAATTTTAATTAGAAACAAAAATAAAAGCATGACATAAGCACTGAAAAAATAGCCGCTGAAGAAAAAAAAATTTTCAAAGTTGCATACTGTTTGTCACCAAGTATTTTAAACAACCAATAATTGAATTAGTGAAAACATGAATCTGAGAATAATACATATACACTTATAAAATTAAAATTAAAAATTTACTTAAAAGTAAAATAAATTATAACATATAAAAATAAGTTTTATATATACAGGAAAGTAAATAAATCTAATTAAAGATTGAATAACAACATCTAAAATTGATTAACAATCATAAGTCTTTCTCTGCACTACTGTTGTTGCCATGATTGTGTAAGTTATTCGCATTGGTAACTTGACTTCTAAACAATGATAATTATGATAGCAAAGAGATATAATTGGTCAAAATCTTTTAACTTAAAAAGAAAGACATTAATTAATTTTGTGAAACAAAATAGTGAATTTATGAATTATGGGACAAAATTACTAGCAACATTTAAAGTTGAACTGCAGAAGAAGGTTAGAAGTGAAGCCCTTCCTTTAACTTGGTGCAACATGTCCATTTGTCTGCTTTTGCTAACTAACATTTTCAAAGACTATTTGTTGGTTGAAAAGCAACCAGAATAATTGAAAATTAGAGATACCATGCATAATATTGTTGGTTAAACCTTTGAGTCTCAGCAGGCACAAAGTCTTCTCCGTGCAAAACACATTGCTGCCTCCACAAACAAATTTCATTGCACGAATTTTCAAGTTTCAACACTACACAACCCATGTCAAAGTAAACAGTGTCTTCTTTACCTCTCTGCTTACAACTTTCAACTTTCAACGGTAATTACTCATTCATGTCAGTTTTTTTGTATTGGTCAATGATGTTTCTGATTTAACTTGAATGCTTGTTCTCTCATTATTTCATTATTGTTTATAGTTATGTC